TTTTTTTTTTTTTTTTTTTTTTTTTTTTTTTTTTTTTTTTAATGAAATACTTTCTTTTGTGTCCCTGAGAAGGGTGTCTAGGAGGAAAACTCTGAATCTGAAGATGTTTTTTATTTAATCTCACATTTGATGGTTTTGGCTAGATAGAATATTCTAGGTTAAAAATATTTTTTTGCACAGAATTTGGAAAGTGTTATCTTCCAGTAGCGATGTTGGTTGAGTAATCTGATATTAGAATGATTCCCATTCCTTCATAGTTTACAATTTTAATCTCTGGAAACTTTTAGGGTTTTGTTTCATTTTTACATTATAGTTTTTATTTTGGCAACCCTGTCAACCATATTTTTAATTTTCAGGTTATTTACTGGTTGTTTTTTTGTAGTATGTGGTCTTGTTTTCAAAGTACAATATCATTTACAGTCTGGCTGAGTGTGTGTGTGTGTGTGTGTGTATGTGCATGTTTGTGTGTTTAATTCTTCTTTGTGCCTTGAATTATGTTTCCTCTGGGATCTTTTTGTTTATCTTGATATCCCTCACGTGATATAAGTTTTCAATAAATATCTGGTGGTCCTTGCATGACCTTTTATATTTAGAAACAAAAAATATTGTCTGGAAATTCTGTAGGAAAGTAATTATCAGCTCGTGGAGAGTGAATTGTTATGCTTTCATTTAAAAAGCAGATGCTTTTGCTCTGGGTTCATTACGCAATCATAAAAGTTAAAACTGATGAAGAAAAAAGTCATAAAGCTGTATGCACCAAACAACATAATAACTAAGTACATAAAAGTAAAAGATGTTATAAATACAAGTAGACTTTGACAAAAAAATAGTAGGATACTTCAATATTGACCTCAGAATTGGACAATTCTAATAGGTAAAAATAAGGATATAAAGTTATGAATAATACAATAAAAATGAAAACAGAGAGCATTATATCCCTTAAATAAGCACTTTATTTTTTAAAAAAGATTTTATTTATTTATTTATTTGACAGAGGGAAACACAGCAAGAGAAGGAACACAAGCAGTGGGAGTGGGTGAGGGAGAAGCAGGCTTCCTGTTGAGCAGGGAACCTGATGTGGGGCTCCATCCCAGGACCCTGGGATCATGACCTGAGCTAAAGGCAGACGCTTACTGACTGAGCCACCCAGGCACCCCAAATAAATACTTTAAAGAATATGTCAGTAAAACATTTACAAAGGTGGATCATTTACTATACCAGGACAAAATCCTTAATACATTAAAAGTGAATGATAAACCTTAAAGACATTATACGAAGTGAAATAAGGTGGACGTAAAATACTGTGTGGTTCCACTTATGTGACATACCTAGAGTAATCAAATTCAAAAAGATAACAAGTAGAATGACGATTTCCAGGGGTTGGGGAGAGGGGGAATAAAGAGTTAGGGTTTAATGGGCAAAGAGTTTCAGTTTGGGAAGATGAAAATTTTCAGGTGGGTGGTGGCAGTGTTTGCACAACAAATGAATGTACTTAATGCCACTCTTAAGGCACACTGAAAAACAGTTAAAATGATAAAAAGTAGGTTATGAGTATTTTACCACAATTAAAGAAATGAGTGACAGGAATTTTTTTTAAAGATTTTATTTGAGAGAGAGAGAATGAGAGAGTGAGCATGAGTGGGGGAGGGTTAGAGGGAGAAACAGACTCCCTGCTGAGCAGGGAGCCCAGTGCAATGTGGGACTTGATCTTGGGCCTCCAGGATCAGACCTGAGCTGAAGGCAGTCACATAACCAACTGAGCCACCCAGATGCCCGAGTGGTAGGAATCTTATAGGCCACATCCTCTAATCATAAGCCAGCAGCATTTGTAATAAATAATTTTAAAAATTATCCTCCATTGTTATGGACTGATTCTCCCCCACTTCATATATTGAAGCCCTAATCTCCAATGTAATGTTATTTGGAGTGGGGTCTTTGGGAGGTAATTAGGCTTAGATGAGGTCATAAGAATGTGGCTCCCATGATGCGATTAGTATCTTTATATGAAGCAGAAGAGAGACCAGAACACACTCTGTCTCCACCATTTGAGTATGCAGCTAGAAGGCACTGTCTATAAGTCAGGAAGAGAGATTTCAACAGAACCAAATTGGCTAGCTATCACCTCAGTTCTGGACTTCCCAGCCCCCAGAACTGTGAGAAATAAATTTCTGATCTTTAAGCCACTCAGTCTATGGTATTTTATTATGGCAGCCTGAGCTGACTAAGACATCCATCTTAAATCATTAGGCCAATTTCTCAGATATATATTCCTGGATAGCACTTCTATTATAGAGAAATTGATAGGGAAAAGTCCGCTTTTAGAAAACAATAAAAAGAGTGATTAACACCTATGTTCATTAGAAATAGGAAAAATCTTACTGAGAGAAAATTTACAGGCTTAAATGACTTTGTTTTTATTTTATTTTTTAAAAAGATTTTATTTATTTATTTGACAGAGAGAGAGAGAGAGAGCGAGAGCGGGCACAAGTAGAGCAGCAAGCAGAGGCAGATGGAGAAGCAGACTCTCCACTGAGCAGGGAGCCCAATGTGGGGCTCAATCCCAGGATCGAGCCGATATGAATGCCTTCATTTTTAAATCAGTGCCTTAGTTGGCTTGGATTGCTATAACAAAATACCATAGACTGAGTCACTTAAAAAACAGACATTTATTTTTCAAGGTTCTGAAAGACTAGAAGTTGAGATCAGGATCGCAGCATGGTTGGGTCTAGTGAGAGCCCTCTTCTTGGTTTGCACATAACTGCCTTTTCACTTTGTTCACATGGCAGAGAGAAAGGAAGCTCTCTGGTCTTTCGTCTTCTTATAAGGACATTAATTCCATCATGAGGGTCCTACCTTCAGGTCCTAATTTAAACCTATTTACCTCTCAAAGGCCCACCTCCAGATACCATCACATGTGGGTAAAGACCTCAACACATGAAGTTGTGGGTGACATAAACATTTAGTCCATAGTAATTGATGTGACAAAAAGTAAGTAAATAAAGGACTGCTCTTAATAAATTTAAAAAAGAACAACAGGGTTGCCTGGGTGGCTCAGTGGCTTAAGCCTCTGCCTTCAGCTCAGGTCATGATCTCAGGGTCCTGGGATGGAGCCTCACATCAGGCTCTCTGCTCAATAGGGAGCCTGCTTCCCCCTCTCTCTGCCTGCCTCTCTGTGCTACTTGTGATCTCTCTATCTCTGTCAAATAAATAAAATCTTAAAAACAACAACAAAGTAGAATTAAAAGTAAAACAAATTAATGAAATAAAAAATAAAAAATACATTTAATATTACTTAGTATGTTCAATAAAATACAGGATATAACATAGAGTACATTAGTATTTATTTTCTTTCTTCCTTATTTAAAAATTCAAATATTGTCATTTGAATTTAGTGGATTTTGTTGTATACCTCCTGGGTTGTAGCCCCAACTTTGGGAACCGCAGATCAAGAGTATAGGAAAGGATATTTTTGTTTTGTTGAGCTTTTATATTGCTTTGAGGGTTGATATATTCTAATTGTCCTGAGAATTTATCTTGTAATTAAAGTTTTTTTTGTTGTTGTTGGTTTGTTATGCATTTGCATTGTTTTGTTTCTACTCAGTGTTCTAATTCAATGACACATAAAATACATTAAGAAATAGAGTCTGGGGCGCATGGGGGGCTCAGTGGGTTAAGCCTCTGCCTTAGGCTCAGGTCATGGTCTCAGGGTCCTGGGATTGAGCCCCACATCGGGCTCTCTGCTCAGTGGGGAGCCTGGTTCCCCTTCTCTTTCTGCCTGCCTACTTGTGATCTCTCTCTCTGTCAAATAAATAAAATCTTAAAAAAAAAAATGAAATAGGGTTTAAGGACATGAGAGTTAATTGTTCTGTTCTATCTGGCTTGCCCTAAATCTGTTGGTTTTGCGTAGGAGTTCAGGAGGAGCTATTATACCTGGTGTCCCACTACTTTTCAAATTTATGGTTCATGTTTTGTGTTATTGTTATGTCTGTTATTATGCTCTTGTTTTTCTAGAGATCTTGCGGTTTAATTACAGAATAAAATCTCATTTTTTTCCTTTAAGTACTGCTGTGTGAAAATTGCATCTTAGCAATGGTCCCTGAGAGATTTCTGAGAAATCTGAGAGATTTCTATTGTCTTAATATAATGCTAATTTTCCCATAGTAATTTCTAAATTACTGCACATATTATTTACAGTTGTCAAAGCTGCAAGAGGAAAGGTCGAGCTTGCAAGACCAGCTACGTGACTATGAAGATCGAATTAATGCTATGACTTCTCACTTGAAAAATGTTAAGCAAGAGTTTTCATTTACACAGGTACAATTATCCCAACATAATGTTGATTGTGCCATGTGTGGTCATGGAACATTTCACGTTGCATTTACACCTGTGATTTTATTTTAGGGATCTAACAGGAAACTTTAGCATAGCTAAACTATTGTCAACGTAACCTTGAACCTGAAAGTAGGTAGGAAAAAAAGGCGTTGAGGAGCTCACTGATGCTACCAAGTTCAGGAATAACTAATTTATTTGAAAGAAGAAATCATTCAAACAGTATGATGTAATATTTAGGCACCAGATTTTATGAGAAGGGTTTAGTGATCAGTGATTTTAAGCCAAAATAGACCTAATATAACATGTGATAGAATTTCCACCTCCTTTTCACTTTTTCATTGGAACTCACTGGGCCATTTTGAGTAGAGGCAAATAGTTCACACACTTCAGTAGCCCTTAGGGCACCACAGTATTTTAGGATTTTGCGGTAATGGAAGAGTTAAGTTGTATTTAGGGTATTATTTAAGATAACCAGCGAAAGTATAATTCATTTTAGAAATATTATTACAATAATAAACTTAAAACTTAAGATGATTAGTTAAGTAAGCTTCTGTTTTATGGATAGTCTGTTCATGTGTAGAACATCATTCCCTGATGATGCCCAGCAAATCAGCTCAGCAAATCAGCACTGATGAGTTTACTAACTTCCATTTCAAGCTATTTTTTAAAAAATGCATTCTACTTTTCTTTGAAAGATATGTAATTCTTTAAATTGAACAAAGATGCTTTTAATACCAGTTTATAATTAATACAGATAAGTAACCATTTTATTGTGTATAAGTCTTATTAGGAAACTGCAAATTTAATGAACTTTTAAAAACAACACTTCAAATTTTTGAATCCTAATACGATTGAGTAATTAAACTGGAACATCTTTTCTTAAAGTTATTAAATCACTGAGTTGGGGATTTGAAAGTCAGAGACTCTCTGTAGGTATACTTCATTATAGTCAAACCTTAATTAAATCAGATAATAGACACGAAAGACAATAAACTTCCTATAGCACTAACAGCTCTAATAATTAAAAATAATACTGATGGTGATAACTTCAAAGCACTCCAAACTCAACAGTCAACAAATACTATTTTGTTAAGTAAAACAACACAAAGGCATTGATGGTTTATTAATATGTTCTGGGAAATATTTATAACCATCAGTGTTTACATAGTCATAAATTATCTATTAATTAGAATATGTAATCAGTCTATGGAAACATCCCATTTCCCAAGTATTTTTAAGTCTTACCATTATAAACTTTGGTTTTCTTCAATTTCCCTAGACCAACATAATATCTGAAAATTGCTGACAACAATATTTTCTCCTAGGTCATTTCATGAACTGACTTTATTAGAGCTAGTACGCAACACAAACTACATTGAATCATAAAGTCTAACATTATTTAGGTTTCAGAGAAGTGGAATTAATAATACTTAATCTAAGTATTTTGTGTGAACTTTTTTGGGGGGCTAATGGATTATTATAAATATTCTATAATTAAAAATTAAAAATCTTTCTATCTTGCAAATTATTTTGTAGTCTCTTTGTAAAGCTAGGGAGCATGAGATTGAAAGTGAAGAGCATTTTAAGATCATTGCTGAAAGAGAACTGGGACGAGTGAAGGATGAAATCCAACGACTGGAAAATGAAATGGCTTCAATACGGGAAAAGAAAAGTGATAAGGAAGTGTGTATTGTAATGTTACTTAAAATTTTGTGCTATTGTTCTTTCTTCCCTTACCAATCAAACACTGATTTTTTTTTCTGTATGGTAAAGGCATTCTTTAGTTTCCTGACATTTACTTACATTGTTATTTGGACAATGAAAGGCATGCGGCATTGTCATTTGAATGAAATGATAGAATGTTATATTTATTTTCCCACTATTCATTTACCAAATAGTCATTGAGCCACCATGTGCAGAGTACCATACTGGCTGTCTATTGTGTGATACTAGGCATAATTTATTCATAAGTATCATATGTTACTAGGCATAATTCATTCATATATTTTTAAAAGGCCACATTAAAAATTATTTTTAGTATCGAGTTTCATTTTTCATTCAAAATTTTTACCTTTTATATTAATTTATTAGCCTGTAACTCTAACAATAAACTACTGTAACCTCTTTTTCTCTTTTCCTTTGTTTTAGTTGCCTGATTTGGGAGATCTATCCAAATTCAATTCTCAAAAAACAAAACAAAACAAAACAAATTCAATTCTCTTTACATGTGCATATACATGTAGAAATGTACATGTGTATGCATATGTACACATATACATACATATTTTATTATATTAATTTGTATTTATTTGCATATTAATCTGTTTTCTTTTATGACTATAGATTTGTTAAATGAATACATTTCCAGAAATTTTTTTTATTAGTTTTAGAGGTAGAATTTAGTGATTCATCAGTTGCATATAACACCCAGGACTCATTACATCAAGTGCTCTCCTTAATGTCCATCATCCAATTATCCTTTCCCTCTACCCACCTCCCCTCCGGCAAACTTAGTTTGTTTCCTAGAGTTCAGTGTCTCTTATGGTTTGCCTCACTCTCAGTTTTCATCTTATTTTATTTTTCCTTCCCATCTCCTATGTTCATCTGTTTTGTTTCTTAAGTTCCTCGTATGAGTGAAATCATATGGTATTTGTCTTTCTCTGACTGACTGATTCATTTACGGAAATATTTTTATCTTCTTAACAACTATATTTGTTTCAATTAGAAGTATCCAAAATTTCCATAGGAAACGTCTCTTAGAGGCAAGAATCTGATTGGAAATGGAGCTGAAGGGGACTTGACTTGGGCTTGAGTTAGCATATCAAGCACATTATTTTTACTAAGATCATATATCCACATGGGGTGGATTTGGCGGAGTGACTAATATTAGAGATTGCTCTGGGAGACTTTCCCTAAAGCCTTCTTAAGCCGTCTTTGACTCAACTACTATTCTCAATTTTGTATAATCATTTCCCCTCTATTTTACAACTGAAGAATTAAATACAAGTATGATAGTTATATAATAAGATGTGCATTATGTGTATCTGGAAGTTGGGAAAGGGACAGGATTACTTCTTCCTTTTTAATATGTTCTGTAATATGTAATATTATGTTTTAGTTTAGTTTGTGTAGTAAATAATATTTTGTAATCTCTCCCTTCCCCCTTTATTTGGAAATTAGAACAACATATTTAAAACTACTCAAAAATTGGATGGTTTGAAATGTCAGATGAACTGGGACCAGCAAGCATTGGAAGCCTGGTTAGAAGAATCAGCTCATAAAGATAGTGATGCCCTCACTCTTCAGAAGTATGCACAACAAGATGATAATAAAATTAGGGTGAGAAATTATAAATTGTAATCTTAGGTTTTCTCTAAAACTGTAGTATGTGAACCTTTTTACCTAAATTAGGTTTGTAATTTGAATGCCATAGTTCTTAAACTTTTTTGGGTCAGAGACTCCTTTGACAGTCTCATAAAGCCAAGGATCCTCTCTTTAGAAAAGTGACTATACTCAAATACTCATAAAATTTTGCTGAAAGTTTTATAGATCCTCTGAAATCCTCTCCCCATTTAGGGATCCACAGACTCCAGCTTAAGAATCCTGATTGAGAAGAGTTTTCAAAAGCATTTTGAAATGAAAACATTTCAGAGAAGAAAGTTTTATATTAGAATTATGTATAAATAATTTAGCTTTTTTTGTCTAAATAATAGTTTGAATGTAATATACAGTGTTTGCTGATTTGAGGCTATAGTATTATTTAATATATTATTAAAACATTACTTAAAATCTACTTGTAATTCAATGTGTTATATGTTAATATTATGAAACATGCTATTTTCTAATAGATTAAATACCAAATACATTATTTCAAATAATTTTAAATGGCAAATTATTGTTTATTTTTTTCTAACTTTAAAAAGTATTAAAAGTCTTTTTAGAAATAATTGAGTTTTCATTGCGCCCTTTGGGGTGAAAGACAATGTATAGTTGTTTTAGATAGCAAATAAGTTTGTATTTATAATATAATAGTACTTAATGTGAGATATACTAATAGCTTTTAAGTTAAATGATAATTATGAATATTTTTACATGCAACTACATTATAGGCATTGACCCTGCAATTAGAAAAACTGACTTTGGAATGTCATCAGAGAAGAAAGGTACTTGACAACGAACTTACAGAGACTCTAAGTGCACAGGTTAGTTTATTTCTAATTAAGAAACAAGATAATTAAGAAATATTTTATTTCTTAATTGTTGAAGGGATATATGCTAAAGCACTTAAATTCACAAAAATGTTATTTGCTCTCTGACAGTTAGAATTGGATAAAGCGGCACAAGATTTTCGGAAGATTCATAATGAAAGACAAGAACTCATTAAACAGTGGGAGAACACAATAGAGCAGATGCAGAAGAGAGATCGAGACATTGATAATGGTGCCTTGGTAAAATAGTTGTTTGGTCCTTGCAATGTTCAACTCTGTTATTCTCTTTTGTATTTAACTTATTCATTTCAAATGTAACTCACATTATTTAAAAATCACTTTTGTAGTAGTGTTCAATAGTTCTGGTAAATGTTTTTCAAAGCTGACTCCACTTAGATATGTGATTTTATGAAGATTATTTACTTATGGCATTATAATTCTGAAGACTAGATCCTGCCCCTTTGAAATGTGAAACAAGAGAAAGTCAGTGGATAATTTTAGAGCAGTAAATCAATGCTCTGACTTACACATGGTTGTCCAAGTTGCTTTGGATTTAATATATGTGCTATTTGGAGTAATCACTGGTATAGAGAAATGAATCCCATGGTTGGCCAAGAAACAAAGAGGGAGAGTCAGGAAAGAAACGTAGACTGTGATAAAGTTTCACTTTTGAAACTGAGGCACCCATAGTAGGGAAGAAGCTTGGAAGCAAAGGAGTACCACACTGATTAAACACAGACTTAGTGTTATCTTTTGCTAGTTTCAGAGGTAACATCTTAAGTAAGTTAAGTATATATTGTATTATATTATACTTAAGTATATATATATAGAATGTTAATTGTTATAATTGTGTAACATTGTTTAAAAATGTGAATGTTGAAGTAGGTATTAAAGTATCTGTTTAAGTGGTAGTAAAGTAAATATAAGGCAGAAAGTTCTAGAATGATCATTTTACATTTATAAACCTAAGATGTTTTGACTTGTCTTTGGTTGAATGAACACTATATATACAACCAAAGACAGGTCAAAACATCTTAAGTAAGTTAAGTATATATTATAATATATATTATATATATATATGTATATATATATATATATACACACACAATGGCTACATTATAGAGTGTTGATTTTTTAAAAAGATTTTATTTATTTATTTGACAGAGATCACAAGTAGGCAGAGAGGCAGGCAGAGAGAGAGAGGCGGAAGCAGGCTCCCCACTGAGCAGAGAGCCCGATGCGGGCCTCGATCCCAGGACCCTGAGATCATGACCTGACCCGAAGGCAGAGGCTTAACCCACTGAGCCACCCAGGTGCCCTAGAGTGTTGATTGTTACAGAGAAAATGTGGAATTAAATAAATTTACAATACCTTTTTTAAACACTATTACACATATTTTTATTTTTTATAGATTGTGTTGTCTAGAAAATTCAGCAGTCTAAATGTTGCTTCTTTTATTTTTTAAATTTAATTTAATTTTTTCAGTGTTCCAAGATTCATTGTTTATGCACCACACCAGTGCTTCATGCAATACGTGCCCTCCTTAATACCTATCACTAGGCTCACTCATTCCCCCCACCCCCCTCCCTTCCCAAACCCTCAGTTTGTTTCTCAATGCTTTTTTAAATGTAATGCTTTTCAGGGGTGCCTGGGTGGCTCAATCAGTTAAGCTTCTGCCTTCAGTTCAGGTCATGATCTCAGGGGCCTGGGATCAAGCGCCAAGTTGGACTCCCTGCTCAGGGGGGAGCCTGCTTTTCCCTTTCCCTCTGACCTTTGCCCTATTATACTCCCCCAATGCCATACCCCATTCCCCATCTCTTCTCCCTCTGCCCTACCCCACTCCCCTGCTCATGCTCTCTTTCTCACAAATAAATAAAATTTTTTAAAAAATGTAGTACATTACAGACATATATCCATTTAATATGCCAATATATACAGTATTACATGCAGCATTTCTTTTTTTTTTTTTAAAGATTTTATTTATTTATTTGACACAGAGAGAGAGAGCAGCAGCAGCAGAGGGAGAGGAAGAAGTAGACTCCCCACTGAGCAGGGAGCCCTATAGGGAACTCAGTCCCAGGACCCCAGGATCATGACCCCAGCTGAAGGCAGATGCTTAACTGACTGAGCCGCCGTGGTGCCCTACAGGCAGCATTCCTAAAAGTTACTAATTTTAGAACATAACACCCTCCCTCAACCCAATTTTCTGGGATTAAATGTTTGGTAGGACCTCATTTTGGAATTACATTTTAGGATAAATTTTCCTTCTTCCTCCAATTCCTTTAACATGTTGCCATCAACATCACTTGTAAAAACCATGTGAGCTTTTTATTCCTCAGCTCTAGAATCTTCTTTGTTCCACACTGCTTAAAAATTGAACCTCTTAAACATGGCAATTAAAAAAATTGAATTTTTTCACATTTGGACCCTAACTCTATCTTTCCAGCCTCATTCCTTTCATATGTACCCACCCCTTCTAATACATCCCCATTCCATCCCTGCCCTCCCTACTCTTTCACTACATTATTTATGCATCTCCATTTATCTTTTTAGGCTTAACTTAAAAGAAGCTTCTTAAGTAATGCCTTTTAATAATTCCTCATTGGTAGACTTCATCATCTCTTTTTCCCATGGTGCTTTGTCCATGTCTCAGTTACTACCTTGTACATTCTATTTATTTTGTATCTCCAGGACCAGCAAAACCCCTCAGTGAAGACATTCTTATTGAAACAAATAACTAAAATATTATTCTCAAAAGATGAAAAAAAAAACCTGGTCCTGTGAAATATTATTATAATAAAATAATTGAAATTCAACTTTCTATGTAAAACTATTCAACAGTGTTATATTTTTAGAATATTACCTTTTGTTTATGAAAGCTTGACATTTTTCTCTTCTCTTTAGCAAAGTACCAGTTAAGAAAACAAGATCTTTAAAAAAAATGACCTTATAGATACTGATGTGTAACTGTGTAACATATTAATACTTTGTTTTTATTCATATAAAAATAGACTTTTTTTTTTTTTTTTTTTAAAGTAGGCTCCATGCCCAGTGTGGAGCATAATGCAGGACTCAAATTCAAGATCCTGAGCTGAGATCAAGAGTTGCATGCTTAATTAACTGGGCAACCCAGGTGCCCCCAAAGTAGGCTCTCTTTAAAGAAAATACTGTCTTAAGAAGTTTTGATAAAATGCTGAATATAGAAAAATAAAAACTAAATTCCTTTTTGTTTTGTTCATTGTATTAAACATATATTTAACATATTTTTAAACCTTAGGCATTAACGAGGATAAAGCAGGAAATACGAGAAAAAGAAAATTTGGTTAAAGAAAAGATCAAGTTTTTGGAAAGTGAGATTGGGAATAACACAGAATATGAGAAAAGAATTTCTGTTGCTGATCGTAAACTTTTAAAATGTAGAATGGAGTATCAGCGTCATGAAACAAACAGAAGTCAGCTGAAAGATGAGGTATGTCAACTAAAAAGACTGGCTTGTGTATTTATGAAAAATTACTATAAAAATAAGCGTAAAAGCTCTCTTTTGATTAAGGAACTGTCTTCTAGTTTCTTTTTCTTATGTCCCTTCATGTTGTGGAATTTTAGGGTACTGAATTTTAGCCCTGCTTGGTGAAGGCAAGAGGGGTGCCAGGCATATTACAGGTGGTGTGAAGGGATTGGAAATTGGAATATTGTAGAGCATTTCATTGTACAAGTTGTTACACTTTTTATTTCTTTTTTTTTTTTTAAAGATTTTATTTATTTATTTGACAGACAGAGATCACAAGCGGGCAGAGAGAGAGGAAGGGAAGCAGGCTCCCCGATGAGCTGAGAGCCTGATGTGGGGCCTGATCCCAGGACCCTGGGATCATGACCTGAGCTGAAGGCAGAGGCTTTAACCCACTGAGCCACCCAGGCGCCCCTACACTCTTTATTTCTGATAAAGAAGGAAAGATTTTTTTTCTGTCCAAGAAGAGTAATTACATATGATTCTAAAGAAGTAAAATAAGCATATTTCTTGCCTAAATTAAATGTCACTGATAATAGTTTATTCTTAAAATTTTTTAAGTTTAAATCAATTGTATTAAAAAATGTTGGGATTCATTCACTCATAATTTGTTTATTGAGATGTAATTCACATATAATAATTCACCCTTTTAAAGTATATAATTCGGGGGAGGAGTCAAGATGGCGGAGAATTAGCAAGCTGAGACGACATCAGGTAGCAGAGATCAGCTAGATAGCTTATCAAACCATTCCGAACACCTACAAACCCAACAGGAGATCGAAGAGAAGAAGAGCAGCAATTCTAGAAACAGAAAATCGACCATTTTCTGAAAGATAGGACCAGTGGAGAAGTGAATCCGCGGGGGGAGGGGCTGGCTCCCTGCAAGCAGCGGAGCAACGGAGCACAAAATCAGAACTTTTAAAAGTCTGCTCCACTGAGGGACATCGCTCCAGAGGCTAAACCGGGGTGAAGCCCGTGTGGAGACAGTGTGGCCTCAGGTCCCGCGGGTTCACAGAAGGATTGGGGGTGTCTGAGTGTTGTAGAGCTCACAGGTATTAGAGTGGGGAACCTGGCTACAGAGACTGAGCCGAGGAGTGAGCTCTCAATTTGGGTTTACCTTGAACCATAATCTGTGGTACAGGCCACTGCTCTGTGAGTGGGGTCCCCACAAGATCCAGGGAGACCCCTCCTGGAAGAGCCCAGGGATCTGCAGGGTTCGGAGACTCCAGGCAGAGGTGTGTGCCAGAGACGGAGATGCTTGGTCACAGGCTAGGTGAGCTCGGAGCACAGCTGGAGGCCAGGGGGATGGGAGTGATTGAGCGCTTTTCTCTAAGGGCGTACTGAGGAGTGGGGCCCTGAGCTCTTGGCTCCTCTGGGCCAGAGATTGGGAGGTTGCCATTTTCATTCCTGTCCTCCGGAACTGTACGCAAAGCATTCAGGGAACAAAAGTTCCCGAAATCGAACCCTAGTGGATTACTTAGCCTGGCCCTTGGTAAGGGCGATGCAATTCTGCCTCTGGCAAAGACACTTGAGAATCGCTACAACAGGCCCCTCCCCCAGAAGATCAACAAGAAATCCAACCAAGACCAAGTTCACTTACCAAGGAGAACAGCGGAATTCCAGAGGAGGAGAAAGCAAAGCATGGAATTCATGGCTTTCTCCCTATGATTCTTTAGTCTTGCAAAGTTAATTAATTTTTTTATTTAATTTTTTTTCTTCTGCTTAATTTTTTTTAACTTTTATTCTTTCCTCTTTAAACGTTTTTTAACTAGTTTATCTTAACAATACCTTTCATAAAAAATGATCTTTTTTGAACCTTCATTATTATAGTCATATTTTATCCTTCATTGTATCTAACTTTATTTTTTGTATACACATAGGGTTTTTTCTTCTAAAAAATTTGGGATACAACTTCTTCTAATAGATCAAAATACACCCTAAATCTAGCATTGGGCTTGTCTCTAGCCCGAGCAATTTCTCTACACTTTCTTTTTCTTTATTCTCCCAACCAACTTATCTTATCAACTCCTTTGTTAGAAATTAAAAAAAAAATTTTTTCATCTTTATAGTCATATTCCATCCCCTCATTGTGTTTACCCTTATATATGTTTTTCATTTTTTAAAATTTTGAGAGGTAGTTTCTTCTCAGAGACCAAAATACTTCCCAAATTATGTGGGTGACCCTGTTCTAGACCCTGTTCTAAAATTTAGGGAGGTAGTTTCTTTTAAGAGACCAAAATACTCCCGAAGTTAAGTGGGTGACCCTGTTCTAGTCACCAGTCTAATATATATATATATATATTTTTTTCTTTATTTGTTTTCTTTCTTTAATTTTTTTTTTTCTGAACTTCTTTTTACCTCCTTTCTTTCCCCCATGATTTGGGGTCTCTTCTGATTTGGTTAAAGCACATTTTCCTGGGGTCTTTGCCAGCTTTTTAGTATTTTATTTGCTCCTTCATATATTCTTATCTGGAGAAAATGACAAGGTGGAAAAACTCACCACAAAAAAAAAAAAAAAGAGTAAGAGGCAGTACTGAAGGCTAGAGACCTAATCAATATGGACATTGGTAATATGTCAGATCTAGATTTCAGAATGATGATTTTCAAGGTTCTAGCTGGGTTCGAAAAAGGCATGTAAGATATAAGAGAAACCCTGTCTGGAGAAATAAAAGCCCATTCTGGAGAAATAAAAGAACTAAAATCTAACCAGCTTGAAATCAAAAAAGCTATTAATGAGGTGCAATAAAAAAATGGAGGCTCTTACTGCTAGGATAAATGAGGCAGAACAGAGAATTAGTGATATAGAAGACCAAATGACAGAGAACAAAGAAGCTGAGCAAAAGAGAGACAAACAACTACTGGACCACGAGGGGAGTATTTGAGAGATAAGTGATACCTTAATACGAAACAACATTAGAATAATTGGGATACCAGAAGAAGAAAAAAGAGAGAGTGGAGCAGAAGGTATATTGGAAAGAATTATTGCAGAGAATTTCCCTAATATGGCAAAGGGAACAAGCATCAAAATCCAGGAGGTGCAGAGAACCCCCACTCAAAATCAGTAAGAATAGGTCCACACACCATCATCTAATAGTAAAATTTACAAGTCTTAGCGACAAAGAGAAAATCCTGAAAGCAGCCCGGGACAAGAAGTCTGTAACATACAATGGTAAATATATTAGATTGGCAGCGGAGTTATCCACAGAGACCTGGCAGGCCAAGAAGAACTGGCATGATATATTCAGAGCACTAAATGAGAAAAACATCCAGCCAAGAATACTATATCCAGCTAGGCTGTCATTGAAAATAGAAGGAGAGATAAAAAGCTTCCTGGACAAACAAAAACTGAAAGAATTTGCAAACACCAAACAGCTCTCCAGGAAATATTGAAAGGGGTCCTCTAAGCAAAGAGAGAGCCTAAAAGTAGTAGATCAGAAAGGAACAGACACAATATACAGTAACAGTCACCTTATAGGCAATAAAATGGCACTAAATTCATATCTCTTAATAGTTACCCTGAATGTAAATGGGCTAAATGCCCCAATCAAAAGACACAGGGTATCAGAATGGATTAAAAAAAACAAAACCCATCAATATGCTGCCTACAAGAAACTCATTTTAGACCCAAAGACACCTCCAGATTTAAAGTAAGGGGATGGAAAACAATTTACCATGCTAATGGACATCAAAAGAAAGCTGGGGGGCATCTGGGTGGCTCAGTTGGTTAAGCAACTGCCTTCGGCTCAGGTCATGATCCTGGAGTCCCAGGATCAAGTCCCACATCAGGCCCTCTGCTCATCAGGGAGCTGGCTTCTCCATCTGCCCCTCTCCCCTTTCATGCTCTCTCTCTCTCTCTCTCTCTCTCTCTCTCAAATAAATAAAAAATCTTAAAAAAAAAAAAAGCTGGGGTGGCAATCCTTATATCAGATCAATTAGATTTTAAGCCAAAGACTATAATAAGAGTGGAGGAAGGACACTATATCATACTCAAAGGGTCTGTCCAACAAGAAGATCTAAAAATTTTAAATATCTATGCCCCAACATGGAAGCAGCCAACCATATAAACCAATTAATAACAAAATCAAAGAAACACATCGACAGTAATACAATAATAGTAGGGGACTTTAACACTCCCCTCACTGAAATGGACAGATCATCCAAGCAAAAGATCAACAAGGAAATAAAGGCCTTAAATGACACACTGGACCAGATGGATATCACAGATATATTCAGAACATTCCATCCCAAAGCAACAGAATACACATTCTTCTCTAGTGCACATGGAACATTCTCCAGAATAGATCACATCCTGGGTCACAAATCAGGTCTCAACCGGTATCAAATGATTGGGATCATTCCCTGCATATTTTCAGACCACAATGCTCTGAAGCTAGAACTCAATCACAAGAGGAAATTTGGAAAGGACCCAAATACATGGAGGCTAAAGAGCATCCTTCGGAAGAATGAATGGGTCAACCAGGAAATTAAAGAATTGAAAAAATTTGTGGAAACAAATGATAATGAAAACGCCAACAGTTCAAAATCTGTGGGACACAGCAAAGGCAGTCCTGAGAGGAATATATATAGCGATAGAATCCTTTCTCAAAAAACAAGAAAGGTCTCAGGTACACAACCTAACCCTACACCTAAAGGAGCTGGAGAACAAACAACAAAGAAAGCCTAAATCCAGCAGAAGAAGAGAAATCATAAAGATCAGAGCAGAAATCAATGAAATAGAAACCAAAAAAACAATAGAACAAATCAATGAAACTAGGAGCTGCTTCTTTGAAAGAATTAATAAGATTGATAAACCCCTGGCCAGACTTATCAAAAAGAAAAGAGAAAGACCCAAATAAATAGAATCATGAATGAAAGAGGAGAGATCACAACCAACACCAAAGAAATACAAACAATTACAAGAACATATTATGAGCAACTCTACACCAACAAATTTGACAATCTGGAAGAAATGGATGCATTCCTGGAGACATGTAAACTGCCACAACTGAACCAAGAAGAAATAGAAAACCCGAAGAGACCCATAACCAGTAAGGAGATTGAAACAGTCATCAAAAATCTCCAAACAAACAAAAGCCCAGGGCCAGATGGCTTCCCAGGGGAATTCTACCAAACATTTAAAGAAGAACTAATTCCTATTCTCCTGAAACTGTTCCAAAAAATAGAAATGGAAGGAAAACTTCCAAACTCATTTTATGAGGCCAGCATCACCTTGATCCCAAAACCAGACAAGGATCCCATCAAAAAAGAGAATTACAGACCAATAATATCCTGGAACACAGATGCAAAAATTCTCACCAAAATACTAGCCAATAGGATCCAACAGTACATTAAAAGGATTATTCACCACGACCAAGTGGCATTCTAGGGCTGCAAGTTTGGTTCAACATCCGCAAATCAATCAATGTGATACAAGACATTAATAAAAGAAAGAACAAGAACCATATGATACTCTCAATAGATGCTGAAAAGCATTTGACAAAGTACAGCATCCCTTCCTGATCAAAACTCTTCAAAGTGTAAGGATAGAGGGCACATACCTCAATATTATCAAAGCCATCTATGAAAACCCACCACAAATATCATTCTCAATGGAGAAAAACTGAGAGCTTTTCCGCTAAGGTCAGGAACACGGCAGGGATGTCCACTATCACCACTGCTATTCAACATTGTATAGAAGTCCTAGCCTCAGCAATCGGACAACAAAAAGAAGCTAAAGACATCCAAAGCGGCAAAGAAGAAGTCAAACTCTCACTCTTTGCAGATGATATGATGCTATATATGGAAAACCCAAAAGACTCCACTCCACAACTGCTAGAACTTGTACAGGAATTCAGTAAAGTGTCAGGATATAAAATCAATCTACAGAAATCAGTAGCATTTCTATACACCAGCAGCAAGACAGAAGAAAGAGAAATTTAGGAGTTGATCCCATTTACAATTGCACCCAAAACCATAAGATACCTAGGAATAAACCTAATCAAAGAGGCAAAGAATCTGTACTCAGAAAACTATAAAGTACTCATGAAAGAAATTGAGGAAGACACAAAGAAATGGAAAAACATTCCATGCTCATGGATTGGAAGAAAAAATATTGTGAAAATGTCTATGCTACCTAAAGGAATCTACACATTTAATGCAATCCCTATCAAAATCCCATCCATTTTTTTCAAAGAAATGGAACAAATAATCCTAAAATATATATGGAACCAGAAAAGACCTCAAATGGCCAGAGGAATATTGAAAAAGAAACCCAAAGTTGGTGGCATCACAATTCCAGACTTCAAGCTCTATTACAAAGCTGTGATCATCAAGACAGTATGGTACTGGCACAAAAACAGACACATAGATCAGTGGAACAGAATAGAGAGCCCAGAAATCGACCCTCAACTCTATGGTCAACTAATCTTCAACAAAGCAGGAAAGAACGTCCAATGGAAAAAAGACAGCCTCTTCAACAAATTGTATTGGGAAAATTGGACAGCCACATGCAGAAAAATGAAACTGGACCATTTCCTTACACACGAAAATAGACCCAAAATGGATGAAGGACCTCAGTGTGAGACAGGAATCCATCAAAATCCTTGAGGAGAACACAGGTAGCAACCTCTTCAACCTCAGCTGCAGCAACTTCTTCCTAGGAATATTGCCAAAGGCAAGGCAAGCAAGGGCAAAAATGAACTATTGCGACTTCATCAAGATGAAGTCTTGCACAGCAAGGAAACAGTTAACAAAACCAAAAGACAACTGACAGAATGGAAGGAGATATTTGCAAACGACATATCAGATAAAGGGCTAGTATCCAAAATCTATAAAGAGCTTAGCAAACTCAACACCCAAAGGACAAATAATCCAATCAAGAAGTGGGCAGAGGACATGAACAGACATTTCTGCAAAGAAGACATCCAGATGGCCAGCAGACACATGAAAAAGTGCTCCACATCACTCGGCATCAGGGAAATACAAATCAAAACCACAATGAGGGGCACCTGGTGGCTCAGTGGGTTAAGCCTCTGCCTTCAGCTCAGGCATGATCCCAGGGTCCTGGGATCGAGCCCCGCATCTGGCTCTCTGCTCCGCAGGAAGCCTGCCTCCACCTCTCTCTCTGCCTGCCTCTCTGCCTACTTGTGATCTCTGTCTGTCAAATAAATAAATAAATAAATCTTTAAAAAACAAAAAACAAAAAACCACAATGAGATATCACCTCACACCAGTCAGAATGGCTAAGATTAACAAGCCAGGAAATGACAGATGCTGGCAAGGATGTGGAGAAAGGGGAAGCCTCCTACACTGTTGGTGGGAAAGCAAGCTGGTGCAACCACTCTGGAAAACAGCATGGAGGTTCCTCAAAAAGTTGAAAACAGGGCTACCCTACGACCCAGCAATTGCACTACTGGATATTTACCCTAAAGATACAAACATAGTGATCTGAAGGGGCACGTGCACCTGAATGTTTATAGTAGCAATGTCCACAGTAGCCAAACTATGGAAAGAATCTAGATGTCCATCAACAGATGAATGGATAAAGAAGACGTGGTATATATATACAATGGAATACTATGCAGCCATCAAAAGAAATGAAATCTTGCCATTTTCGATGACATGGATGGAACTAGAGGGTATTATGCTTAGCAAAATAAGTCAATCAGAGAAAGACAACTATCACATGATCTCCCTGATATGATGAAGTGGATGTGCAACGTGGGGGGTTTGGGGGGGTTGGAAAAGAATAAATGAAACAAGATGGGATTGGGAGGGAGACAAACCATTAGAAACTCTTAATGTCACAAAACAAACTGAAGCTGGCCAGGAGGTAGGGAGAGGGTGATGAGGTTATGGCATTGGGGAGGGCATGTGCTATGGTGAGTGCTGTGAAGTGTGTAAACCTGGCTATTCCTAGACCTGTACCTCTGGGGTAGTAATACATTATGTTTATAAAAAAATAAAAAATATTAAAAATTAAAATATATAATTCACTGGTTTTTATTATTACATAGAATATGCAACCATCACCACTATCTAATTTTAGACTATCTTTGTCTTTCCAAAAAAAAAACACTTACCCATTAAAAATCATTCTACTTCCCTCCTCCTGCCCAGCCCTGGCAACTGCTAATATACTTTCTGTCTCTATGGATTTGCCTATTTTGGACATTTCATATAAATTCTTTTATTTACATGATGTTTTCAAGGTTTATCCATGTTGTAGCATGCATCAGTACTTCATTTCTTTCCTCTAAATTTTAAAATTGAGATGAAGTAGGGGCAGCTGGGTGGTTCAGTCAGTTAAACGTCTGCCTTCAGCTCAGATCATGATCCCAGAGTATTGGGATCGAGCCCTGCATTGAGCTCCCTGCTCAGTGGGGAATCTGCTTCTCCCTTGCCCTTCTGCCTGCTCATGTTCTTTCTTTCTCACTCTGTCTCCCAAATAAATCAATAAAATCTTTTTAAAATTTTGAGATAAAGTACACATAGCATACAGTTTACCATCTGAATCATTTTCAAGCATACAGTTCAGTGGGATTAAATACATTCCTAGTGTTATGCAACCATCACCACCATTAATCTCTGTAACTCTTTTCTTATTGTAAAACTGAAACCACATACTAATTAAACTGTAACTCCCCATTCTACCCCTTCTCCCAGCTCCTAGTAACTACCATTCTACTTTCTCTATGAGACTACTCTAAGTACTTCATATGAATGAAATCAGACAGTATTTATCTTTTTGACTGGCTTATTTCACTTTTTTCACTTAGCATAATGTTCTCAAGGTTTATCTATGTTGTTGCAGATGTCAAATTTTTGTTACTTTTTAAGGCTAAATACTATTCCATTATATGTATATATAAAATATATATGTATGTGTATATATATATATATATATATATATATATATATATATATCACATTTTGCTTCTCTGTTTATCTGTCAGTGGACACTTGGGTTGCTGCCATGTTTTAGCTATTGTGAATAATGCTGCTATGAACATGGTGTACAATTATCTCAGAATTCCTGGATGATAATTATGGTAATTATGTTTTTAATTTTTTGAGGGACCAACATACTATTTTTTGGAGTGGCTGTACCATTTTATATTTTCACCAAGAGTGCACAAACATTCGTTTCTTCACATTATCACCTTTACTTGTTCTTTTCTTTTTTTGGTAGCAGCCATTCTCATGGAAGGGTGTGAGGTGGTATTTCATTATGGTTTTGATTTGCATTTCCCTAAGGATTGATGCTGTTGAGCATTTTTTTTTAATGAGTTTATTGGCTATTAGTATATCTTCTTTGGAGAAATGTCTATTTGAGTCCTTTGCTCATTTTTTGGATCAGTTTGGTTTGTTTTTTTTGTTTTTGTTTTTTTTTTTTTTTTGGTGGTGCTGGTGGTGGTGAGTTTTAGAAATTATCTACATATTCTAGATATTAATCCCTTATCAGGTATATGATTTGCAAGTGTTTTCTACATTTTTGGACTGCCTTTTAATTATGTTGATACTGTCTTTTGATGCACAGAAGTTTTAAATTTTGATGAAGTCCAGTTTGTCTTTTTTTCTTTTGTTGCCTATCATATCCAAGAAATCATTGCCAAAATCCAATACTGTGATGCTTTTGCTCTATGTACCTTTAATATATCTATGTAAAGTCTGTAATTTGCCAGTATCATGCAATAAGCCATTCAGAATATAACATCAAATAAAAAAGAAAAGCTTTTAATATGTTTTACAGCAACATGGCCACTGTATTTATGGTTGTGATGTAGGTTAAAAACTAACATGTTCAGGATAGAACTTCTCAAAAATGAAATTAATTTATAAGATGTAGAATAAAAATTTAATTTCTGTCTGTTAACTAATGAATAGCTGGATTCTTTAAAAGCCACTGTGAATAGAAGTTCCAGTGATTTAGAAGCTATAAGGAGAAATATTTCCAAAGTAAAGAAGGACATTCATGAAGAAGCAGCAAGGTAAGAAAAAAGATATTTATATATGTTTACAGTTCTTGACTACTTCTATTTTTTAAAGATTTTATTTATTTATTGGAGAGAAAGAGAACAAATAGAGGGAGGAGCAGAGGGAGAGGGACAAGATGCAGGGCTCAATCTCATGACCCTCACATCACAGCTGGATCTGAAATCAAAAGTTGGACATTAAATGACTGAATCACCCAGGCACCCCAGTTCTTGACTACCTCTAGAAAAATTATTAAATATTTAAGCTCTTGTTAATAATTGTAAACCGATAGCTGCTAAATGATTAAACTTGAAAAAAAGTTTTTTCTGGGTCTTTCTTTGTAAAGGCTTAGGAACAATATTTTTATGATCTATTAAATATATGTTTAATAAATATATAAGGTTTACAGAAAGGTAACAAAAAGGTAATGAATAGGTTTATGGCAAAAGAAACCTTCACATTATAAAGAAGAAATCTTAGGATAAACTGTTTCTTGTTTGTATTACTTTTTAGACATGTTTTCTGTCTTTCCTCATAAACTCTCTCTAGGTTACAGAAAATTAAAAATCATAATCAGATTGTGAGAAAAAAATTAAAGCAGATAACTGAGAAAACAATGTCTGTAGAAGAGAAAGCTACCAATTTGGAAGATATGCTAAGGGAGGAGGAAAAAAATGTAAAGGTAAAGTTTAGTTTTAGTTCTTAACAGTCAGAGTGAATCTTGCAATAGTGAATTAGACTCTTGCAATTAGGGAGTAGGAGGTCTTTGAAGAGGCTCTGCTTTCTGGTGTGATTACATTTGTAATCAGAATTTTGAGTTGTTGGACCCCTCTTTGTGTGTGGCTTCCAAGGATATTTCTGGCCTTTTATCTTAAAGCTTCTCTTTCTCCTTTTGCTTCACTTTCGACATTTGACGTGGATGTCTTCTTTCACAAGTAGCCTTCTACCTATAATCTTGTGCCTTCCCAATGCCTGGTGTGTCTCTGCTTGCCATTCATATATATGCTCTTATATTGCGGAGGTACCTTGAAAAATGCCCATATTTTAAAATTGATTTCTATCCTGACTGTTGGTTTTCTTTTTTTTTTTTTTCTTTCTTCTTTCCTTTCTTTGTGATCAAATTTCCCCCAATGGTCTACATTCCTTCCCTGTATTTCTTTATCATTTGTTATCTCTAATGGTCTGGCACCATTTATAGGTAAATGGACTCTTAAGTGTTCTACTCTATTAACTCTGTTGGAATGTCTTTGGCATCTTGGTAACATTTAGGCTGATTTTTGAGGAACTGGAAAAGGTTGGTTCATCACTTCCTCTTTGAAAACTTTGAAGTGACTTCTGTGATCTGATACTATTTATACTACTTCTTGCTTTTACTCTTTTTCTGAGTAATATCATGGCAATATTCTCCATTTGGTAAATATCAAGTATGGTTTCGCTTATATTTGGGTGGAATCAAGCTTCTTCGGTGTGCTGTTCAATGTTTAAAATCCCTGAATAATGAAGTCACGACTTGAGTGGTATATGAGTATAAATCACATTATTTTTAAAAAGTTGGTTTTTTTCCCCTAAGGCATGATTTTTTGTAGCACATGAAATAGGACAGTATTAGAACTTATTAGAAATCTATAAAGACAGAAATCCATATAAAGTAGACCTTTTTTTTTTTTTTAAAGATTTTATTTATTTATTTGACAGACAGAGATCACAGGCAGGCAGAGAGGCAGGCAGAGAGAGGAAGGGAAGCAGGCTCCCTGCTGAGCAGAGAGCCCAATGCGGGGCTCGATTCCAGGACCCTGGGATCATGACCTGAGCCGAAGGCAGAGGCTTTAACCCACTGAGCCACCCAGGCGCCCCTAAAGTAGACCTTTTGATGATGACATTAAAAACTGGTGACATGGGGCGCCTGGGTGGCTCAGTGGGTTAAAGCCTCTGCCTTCAGCTCGGGTCATGATCCCATGTTCCTGGGATCGAGCCCCGCATCGGCTCTCTGCTCTGCGGGGAGCCTGCTTCCTTCTCTCTCTCTCTGCCTGCCTCTCTGCCTACTTGTGATCTCTCCCTCTGTCAAATAAATAAATAAAATCTTTACAAAAAAAAAAACTGGTGACATTTTTGAAGAAATTAGCTTAATTAGAAAAAATGGGGTTAGAAGCATGTGTGCTACAGTTTATTATGGCAGCATGTATAGCAGCATTTTATTCATAATCTTGGTTTTTGTAGCTGTTGGTTTTTGTTTGGAAAAATCCTAACCTATATGTTTTGGAAGTGTACTGTGTTATACCACCAAGCACTCACTTTAAAACTGCCAGACAATCTTTAAGAAGGTCTTAAAACAAATGAAAATTGTCTATTATATAAAAAAGCATTCTTAAGATTATATTCTGTTTTTTAATTTGTCAAAATTTAAATCTGCCAGTCACAGATTTTTTTTTTCATATAGAGGTTCATTGGTTGCCAAAAGGAAATATGCTTATCTGGGTGTAAGAACACAGAGGGAAATTATTTCAACATTTAAAATGATAACTTTCAACAGATCTTGCTTGGCATGGGAGAAGTCTAGAACATATGGTCATGAAACCTTGAAGTCAAGACAGATCTGCCTCTTAAGAAATGAGGAGTGGGAATGGGGGACTGGTTTCTGTTTCCTGGAAGTCTGCACATGTAGGGAGGCCAACTGGAGACAAGGTGTGAATAAAAGGTAGTGCCAGTAGCATGTTGGGGCCAGCACTTCCCAGCTCAAAACAAATGATAGTTGAATTTCCTGGAATTTTGCAAGTCAGCTGCTAACATAGCTACTATTAAAAATTAAGTTATATAGACTTATAATTAAATATTTAACATTCAAAATGAAGTAAAATAAGTACTCAACACTCATCACTTCAAAATTATTTTACTATTATCTATTTATGCTCTTAAGATTACTTACATTTATTATATCTGTATAGTGGAAATGCTATGTAATGGCTTGCTAATGCCTATCTCTTCCCATCTCTGCATTTAATGGAATCATGTTAGTGGCTTGAAATTGGCCATAGTGGGAATATTTATACAATGAAAAATCAGCTTCTTCCCCCTAACCTCCCCCATCCTTTGGAAAGCTGGTGGATAAACATTTACCTGCTCACCACTGGATAGTGCCCAGAAGAAGGTGGGAGATTGCATGATATGATTTCTTTCCTGTAACAACCTCAGGACTTCAGCAAATTCTGTGAACTTCAAAGTTGTGTGTCTCTGGTATATTTTTTTTTCTAAGGAAACCAGTGGAATGGCTAAGTTCTAAGGTCAGGGTGACATGGTACAGAATTGAGATGACAGATCAAGGTACTGGAATAGAGTAGACTATAAGAAATGTTGGAGATTTGTTGAAATTGTGGGAAGGGCATTCTTATATTCTTAAAGGCTAAAATGTTGGGGGGGGTTAATTTATGACCCCCGAAATTATAATGTTCATAAAATAAAACATTTTAAGCTACTATAATTTCATTGATCACTATTATTCTTATCACCAGGAAGTGGAAGTTCAGTTGAACATAGTGAAAGAGGTACTATTTAAGAAAGTTCAGGAATTACAAACTGAAACAATGAAAGAAAAAGCTGTTGTATCAGAAATCGAAGGAACTCGGTCCTCTCTAAAGCACCTCAACCATCAGTTACATAAACTGGATTTTGAAACCTTGAAGCAGCAAGAAATTATGTACAGTCAGGTAGATGTTAATCTTATGAATGTCTTCCATATTGATTTGTTATAGTTGTGATGGTTAAGATACCACAGTGTCCTGAAAAAGCAAAGATTTTTAAAGCATTCTTGGAGGGATAGACAAATGTTGAAATGGGATATCACGTTTGGTCAGTAGTAAGGTAAGGGAGCCTTAAAAGCTATTTTTTTTCTTTATCTGAAATGAACAGGTGAGAGGATAGACTACTCTAGTGAGAGACAACCATGCTTTAGAGGAACCTGGGGCAATTGGGCCTAGAGTAAAACAAAACAAGGAGTGGGATATCTGAAACCTGGAAAAACTGTATGTTGGGTCTTAGTCATGCAAACATGGGCTTCCCTACCCCTCCCTATAAACTAATAGTTTAAAAGCACTTTGGAAGTTTTCACTTATATGTTCCATTTATATATTCTGTCTCATGTTAATTCTTTAATATCATTCCTCTCTACATCTCAATTTCCTTATCTAATGTAGTATTAGTTTCTCAAAATTACAGATGCTGAAGTATTCTCTTAAAAATAATTCATAGGAAGTTCACCATATTTGAGCCATCCATGGCTAACAATTTATTACTTTTTTTTATATCCCTTAGAAAATGGGCCCTCAAAAATCCATGTCCGTATAAATCCAGTGGTTTTACTGAGGTTTCATCCTAGTAGTATGGTGAATATCCTCCTAGCTGACTTCTTATATTTTCAGAAGATTACTTACTTTTATGTCATTATCATGCACTAGATCGTTGAGGAATGGTTTGCTATTTCTTTGCTTAGAGCTAAGAAGGATTTTATACTATAAATTACTGATGAATTAAAGTGACTTTAGTAAATGACTTAAGACTAAACTTTAAGAAAGTGTTTATTGTGTTTTTACATTTATAGAAATGGTTTTAACTGTTTATTTGTCATTATCTGTTTTTAAAAAAATGCAACAGGATTTTTACATTCAACAAGTGGAACGCCGAATGTCACGGTTAAAAGGAGAAATTAATTCAGAAGAAAAACAAGCCCTTGAAACAAAAATTGTTGAACTTAAAAAGATGTTGGAAGAGAAAAAATCTACATTTGGCCTTTTGGAAACACAGATCAAGAAACTTCATGTAACTTAGCCAAAATACTTTTGATGCTTCAAATATCCCAGTCATTAGTTATTCTGTTTTAAGTCAACATGGTCCTAAGACCATGTTTGGGTAGGATGATTGCCAAGCTACTTGCATATATAACAAATGTACAAACTAATGTTCATGTTTCTATACTGACTACGAGAATATAACATTACCATTGATTATGCATTTACTATATGTTAAATATATTATATGCTTTTAGTATTTTATCTCATTTAATCTTTATCAGTGTCTTGTGAGGGAAATATTAATACTCGTGTTACAAATTAAGTAACTTGTCCATGGTTACACATGTAACCAAGCTGTACACAGCTAGTACATGGAGTGCTAGGATTTGATGCTTAGCCCACTGGACTTCAAAATACTCTTAAATAGTACATGGTTTAAAACATTGATGAATTTCATTTTTCTATTATGTTTTTGCCAGAATATCTTGATTGCCCTTTATCTTTGAAATGACCTTTATGGGTCATCTATTGTTATTCATATTTTTACTTGGTTACAATTTTTTGAATGGTTCTATTTTGTTAATAAGATAAAAATGTTCTTCATCTTTCGGTATATTACTGTTTATAGTCATATAAAGCCTATGTTAGGGGAGCCTATGTAATATAAATCGTATTTTAAAGTTTAACTGAGAGTAAGTAAAGGAGCTCACGGACCTGAATGGAATAACCCCAAAAGATGGGAATGTCATTTACAGTTTGAAAGGCTTGTGATCGGTGTCCTCTAGTGGTTATAAGAAGGATTGCCCTGAATTCCTTCAGGACTGCAAAGGTGAAAGGAAGTTCTTACTTTTTAAAAGAATTTTTTTTTTAAATTTTAAGATGATAAAATTTTGGTTTGGAGTAGTTTGTGGCCTGATGAAATGTTTAAAAACTGTTTCCTTAACTTCGTGGAAAAGAACATGTATTTTGGAATAAAAAACAAGTGGTTGTGAATATAAAGTTTATTTCAGTACTTCTATTTCAACTTTTCTGAGACCCAGTTAACTGAGTCCTAGTTAACTCATCTATTAAATGAAAGAAAATATTTGGTATTATTTTAGGGTATTTGGGAGAATTAGAAGCAATGTGTATCTTAACATAGTGCTTTTAGGAGGTATTTGATAAATGGTATAGTTTTAATTACATAGAATATGATAAGAATATGAATGCTGCTGAATGATAGGAGGGTGACATTTGCATGCAAGCACATTTCTTGACTCTGGTGTGAATGGTATCTGTTTTGCTGTGTAGGAATAGTTCTAGTGTTCTGTCTTTTAACTACTCAGGCTGTGTCCATTATACAGCTGTATAGTACTTACTGCCTCTCCCAACTCGGTTTTAATAGAGAGATAAATAAATTACAAGAAATGCAAGTGAAGTTTTTAAGATATTAAAGCTAGATAACCTTCTAATGAAGGTCTGCTCTTCTCAGTAGTACCATGAGATTGTGAAGTCATTCTGCATTACCTCTTCCATGCTATTCCATCTCATATTTTGAATAATAGAAACTAATTCCTTCTGGTTGAAAATCACCTTAAGTTAAAATTTTTTTCATTCTAAAAGTCAATTTTATGAAATCACTTTTTTATGTGTGATTTTATGAAATCATACACACAAAAAAATTCCTCTTCTTACGGTCTTGATGCAATGCAAATCTCTTCATACCTAAGAGAAATACAGGCAATGAGAGAGGCATAGGTGGGAGGCAGAGAGAAAGAGAGAGTAAAAGACAGAGGGAGAGAGAGGAACAGAACTACGTCTTGAAACTAGAAAGTTTTTGCTTTAGGTACCCAGAGGGGATTATGAGCATAAACCTTGTTCCGAGGTCTGGGTGAGTAGGGAGATGTAGGCTGTTATAAAGCTAGGAACCTGATATCTGATGGATATATGTGACACACTTACACATCTGATGGAATTAGAACTTTTCTAGCATTTTTCTCTCTAGCAATACATAACTATACATGTAATTAAGTAATAATAAAAATTCATGGCACTTCTGTGTGTCAAACACTGTTGTCGACACTCTTTGACAGTAACATCTCTAATCCTCACAGCAGCCCAGGCAGGTAGGTACTGTCATCTCCATTTTAGAAATGAGGAAACTAAGGAAGAGTAGGTTGCCCATCAGGGTCAGATAACTCATGTGTAATTAAGGCCATCTGATTCTAGAACTTGTACTGGGAACAAAAACCCTATGCTTTTTTAGACTGAAGGTTTTTGCCTTCTGTGACTTGGGTTCAATCAAATAAGGAACTTCAAAAGGTGAGCTGTATACTGAACTGATGCTTGGCTTCCTCTTCATATTTCTCCCCATAAATGGCAATCACCTAATAATTCAGGTTGAACTATACACAATATTTTGCAGAATTATTGAACCAAAACCAAATCCAAAAAATCAATAGGTGATAAAAAGGAATATGTTTCTATGTGAATATCCACATGTGTTATATTAGAAACATTAGAGCATGAAGTGTGAGATTTAAAAATCCAATTATTATAAATATTCAATGGAACATAATTTAATGTAAGATATGTTTATTTAATGTTATTTTAAAATATATATTTATGTACCTCTTTTCCCTTTTTATAGAATGATCTTTACTTTACCAAGAAGTCAAATAGTAAAAATTGTGATGAAAAACAGTTCCTCATGACCAAAATAAATGAACTAAACCTTTTCAATGACAGATCAGAGAAAGAACTTAATAAAACCAGAGCTTTGAAACAGGTGCAGTAAATCGTATGTGTATGTAATATTAAAAAACACATTTTAATGCTAATTATAGAAAATTTAAAAAATATACCAAACTATAAAGATGAAAATAACTCACTATAATCACTGTATACAAGATAAAGTGTTAAAGTTATAGTATTTCCTTCTAGTCTTTTGAAGAAAATTGACTTTATATATATTATTTAAAAAATTTTTAAATATATTATCTATTTCCATGTATGTCAGCAAACATTAAATATTAAACATTAAGTATTCTTTAAAAATTATTTTTAAGGTCCTCCTACAGTTTATTGCATGCGAATTTCCATAACTTATTTAACCATATCTTGTTTTTTGGATATGTGTTTATTTCCAATGTGTGGTTATTCTAAGTGGTACTATCAGGTGGACCTGGCTGGTTCAGTCAGTGGAATGCAACTTGTTCTCATGGTCATGAGTTTGAGCCCCATTTTGCGTATGGAGCCCACTTAAAGAAAATATAGTACTACCATATAGTATGCATATATGTCGTTGTATAATTGTTCAATGAGTTACGAGAAATTTCTAACTGTGTTATTACGGTTCAAAAAGAATGAATATTTTCAGTGCCTTAAAACTATTTTTTTAAAAAAAGATTTCATTTTATTTTAGAACGAGAGAGTGCACGCATGAACAAGGGGAGGGGCAGAGGGAGAGAGAGAGATTTCCCAAGCAGACTCCTCACTGAGTAGGAAGCTCCACACAGGGCTTGATCTCATAACCCTGAAATCATGACCCAAGCCGAAACCAAGAGTTGGGCACTCAACTGATTGAGCCACCCAGGTGCCCCCAGACTTTTAAGCCAAACTGTCTTCTAGAGGGTTCATCTAATAGTCCCACAGCAGTGTGTGAGCATTCTATTTTACTCACCATCAGTAAGCATGGATATTATAATTCATAAAAATGTTGTCAATTTGATGAGCAAACATAGTATTTCATTGTATTAGTCTATATTTTTTAAATTGGTGACAACGTGTTGTTTAAAAATAAAATTTAAAATATTTATGTTTAAATAAAAATGTTTAGGTGTGGCTGGGTGGCTTAGTGGGTTAAGTGTTAACTTAGTGGGTTAAGTGTTAACTTTTGGTTTCAGCTCAGGTCATGATCTCAGAGTTGTGGGATGTGGACTCTGTAATGAGCATGGAGCCTACTTGGGATTCTCTCTCTCCCTCTCCCTCTGTGTCCTCCTTCCCTCCCCCCCCACTTCTGTGTGCTCTCTTCCTCTCAAAAAAAATGTACGTTATATTCCATGATCTTTCTTTTTTGGATTTCTAGTTTATTATCTTGGCCCATATTTCTATTAGAAGGTTTATATTTTTTAATTGCTTTGCAAAAGACCTTCATATGTAAAAATATTAACTGTCATATTATCAATATTTTTTCCATTTATCTTTAAATTTTTATTCAGATTTTTGACATTAAAAACCTTTTTTAACATCAATTACTTTTTCCCTAAAAAATTTTTATACTTAGAAACTTCTTTGTCATACTAAAAATCAAACAAATGTTTAATATTTCAGTAACTGCATTGGTATTATCTCTTACAGTAAATTTTTCATTAATCTGGAATTTCTTTTTAGTACATTTGAGATGTAGGGATCTAATCTTTTCTCCAACTAAAAAGCTATGTTTTGAAATAATAAAGTCTTATGTTCTGGAGTGTTTGTTTCTGGGCTTTCTATTCTGAAAAGTGATTTATTTGTGTACTCTTCTGTCATTATTCTATCCATGACTGATGGTTTAGAATAGAAATTTATTTACATGTTATTTTGTGAGATTTAGTTTAGAATATAAAAATTTTCATCCATAGGAATATATATATATTTCCTGGATTGTAAGATTTTGGGAATCTTCCTTTTTTTTTTTTTTTTTAGTAAAACTTAAATTTCAAATTGAATTATAATAAGACTTGGAATAAATCCTTTTCTTAAAAATGAAGAAAAACCAAGAGTTATCACTGAGAGCAATCTAAATTTAATCCTAGTTATCTTGGTCAGTGGTCAAATTAGAAAAAGTTGTATTTTCAAGTTTGACTTTTGTGGCAATAAAAGAAAGCATTTTGGTCTGTGTATAACAGTAATAATTTAAGTATCTGACAATTTTGTTATGTTGATAGGATTTGATGATAGAAGATAATCTTTTAAAACTTGAGGTTAAACGTACTCGAGAAATGCTTCACAGTAAGGCAGAAGAAGTACTTTCTCTGGAAAAAAGAAAACAGCAGTTACACACAGCTATGGAAGAACGAATCGAAGAAATTAAGGTTCACAAAACAATGCTTGCATCACAAATAAGATATGTTGATCAAGAACGGCAGAACATAAGGTATTTTGTGCTTTAAAATACTGCTAAAATTTTTTTGAAAATGTAAGTGATGTCAGAAGAACTGACTGGATGATCATCTTTTTCTTATTTGGAAAGGCTTTTATTTTATTTTATTATTATTTTTTAAAGATTTTATTTATTTATTTAACAGACAGAGATCACCAGCAGGCAGAGAGGCAGGCAGAGAGAGAGGAGGAAGCAGGCTCCCTGCCGAGCAGAGAGCCTGACTCAGGGCTCGATCCTAGGACCCTGAGATCATGACCTGAGCTGAAGGCAGAGACCTAACCCACTGAGCCACCCAGGTGCCCTGAAAAGGCTTTTAATATATTGGACACATTTTAATAAAAAACTTATGTTTTTTCCTCACTCTTTCCTTTGGGTAACTTCTAATTCTCTAGATTATCCCTTTTGCAATGAGATCACTAATTCCCTTGTTTGATTTCCAAGTATGTTTTGTGGTGAGAGTTCAATAACATGCTTTTCCTTATGGCTGCATTTATTAAAACAATTTTTCCCTAGAGGTTTTGCATATCTTTTATAAAAAAGATTTATTCCTGACTGCATGCTTTTTATATGATTAAATTAATTAAGTAATTAATTTATTATTTATTTGAGAGAGAGAAAGCATGAGTAGGGGGAGGACAGGGGGCAGAGAGAGAGAGAATCTTAAACAGGCTTGATGCTCAACGTGGAGCATGATGTGGGGTTCTATCTCAGGACCCTGAGATAATGGTCTGAGCCAAAATCAAGAATCAGATGCTCAATTGCCTGAGCCATGCAGGCACTCCTACATGCTACTTTTAAAAATGTTTCTGTAAATGTTATTTCCTTTTAAATCATTTCATTTTTGGTTTGTTGCTAGCATTATAGAAATACAGTTAATTTCTATGTATTAAGAATTCAGCAACTTTGCTTAAACTGTTATTAATTCTGACAGTTGATCCGTAGATTCTAATTTCTAGGTATTTCATTCACATTCATTGCAAATAACAGTTTTGTGTCTCTCTTTTCAATCTTTATAACTTTTCTTTCTTTTGCTTCACTGTCCTTGTTGTCTGACCTCCAGGTCAGTGCCAACTGGCAATGGTGATTGTAGGTCCCCTGGTCTTGGACCTGATCTGGAAGGGAATCATTTTATCACTAATATGAATTGTAGACTTTTTTGAGATAATTTTTAAATATCAAGGGAGTGCCCATCAATTTTCATTCTTTGCTAAGATGTTGTTTTAGTTCATTTCATCAGGAATGGATATTGACTTTTGTTATATGCTTTTTCTGTATTCATTGATATGATGTAGCTCCTTCCGTCTGTTAATATAGTTAAATATAGTGATTGATTTTTCAAGGTTAAAATAACATTATAATCCAGGAATAAACAAAACTTCTCTGTCACATATTACATTTTCTATAATTCTAGATTTTGTTTGATGATATTTGTATATAGTTGTCACATCTGTGGTTATAATTCTCCTTTCTGTGTTGTTGTTGTTAAGTTATCAGGTAATTAAGGTTATGTCAGCTTTCATAGAATGATTCTGTGTGTTTTTTATTTTTCTGTAGTCTGGTTAAGTTTGTAAAAGAGTAGAATTATATCTTTCTTGAATTTTCAAAGATCTTACTAGTAAAGCCATTGGATGCCTGGACTTTTTTGAAGATTTTCAACTACTGGTTCAATTTATTGATTGGTTATAGAACAACATAGATTTTGTATTTCTTCTTCAGTAAGTTTTAGTAAATTATATTTTTACCTAAGAAAAAATTTCCATTTCATCTAAATTTTGAGTTATTGCCATAAAATTGTTTATGATACCATTTTATTATTTGCTTAATAGCTGCAGTGTTTGTAGCCTTTCATTCCTGATATTATTTGTGACTTCTCTTTTTTAGGTGGGACAAGTCTTGCAGTGGTTAATGAATTTTATTATTCCTTGAAAAGAAACAATGCTTGTTCATTTTTTCCTATTGTGAATCCATTTTCTATTTTATTATTATTTATTATTATTTTTTAAAGATTCTATTTATTTATTCTAGAGAGAGAGAGAGAGAGAAAGCATGAGTCAGGGAAGAGCAGAAAGGGAGGGAGAGGGATGAAGAAAGAATCTCAAGTAGGCCTCAAGTCAAGCCCAGAGCCTCATGCAGGGCTTGATCTCACGGCCCTGAGATCCTGACCTAAACTGAAACCAAGAGTTGGATGTTTAACTGACTGAGCCCCCAGGTCACCACTTTCTATTTTATTAATTGCTGCTCTCACATTTACTATTTTTTCCTTCTATTTTTGTGGGTTTATTTTGATGTGCTTAACTTTTTGAGATAGACGCTTAGCTAATTATAAATTTCAACTTTGTGAATTTTTTATTAATTATTTTTATTAACATATAATGTATTATTTGCCCCAGGGGTACAGGTCTGTGAATTATCAGGTTTACACACTTCACAGCACTCACCATAACACATACCCTCCCCAATGTCCATAACCCAACCACCCTCTCCATACACCCCCTTCCCCCAGCAACCCTCAGTTTGTTTTGTGAGATTAAGAGTCTGTTATGGTTTGTCTCCTTCCTGATCCCATCTTGTTTCATTTTTTCCTTCCCTACCCCCCAACCCCCCCACTCTGCCTCTCAAATTCCTCATATCAGAGAGATCATATGATAATTGTCTTTTTCTGATGGACTTATTTTGTTCAGCATAATACCCTCTAGTTCCATCCACATCATTGCAAATGGCAAGATTTCATTTCTTTTGATGGCTGCATAGTATTCCATTGTGTATATATATATATATATATATATATATATATATATATATATGCCACTTCTTTATCCATTCATCTGTTAATGGATATCTTTCCATATAGATTCTTTCCATAGTTTGGCTATTGTGGACATTCCTGCTAGAAACATTTGGGTGCACATGCCCCTTCGGATCACTACATTTGTATCTTTAGGGTAAATACCCAGTAGTTCAATTGCTGCATTGTAGGGTAGCTCTATTTTCAACTTTTTGAGGAATCTCCATACAGTTTTCCAGAGAGGCTGCACCAGCTTGCATTCCCACCAACAGTGTAGGAGGCTTCCCCTTTTTCCGCATCCTCGCCAACATCTGTTGTTTCCTGACTTGTTAACTTTAGCCATTCTGACTGGTGCGAGGTGGTATCTCATTGTGGTTTTAATTTGTATTTCCCTGATGCCGAGTGATGTGGAGCATTTTTTCTTGTGTCTGTTGACCCATCTGGATGTCTTCTTTGCAGAAATGTCTGTTCATGTCCTCTGCCCATTTCTTGATTGGATTATATGTCCTTTGGGTGTTGAGTTTGGTAAGTCCTTTATAGATTTTGGATACTAGCCCTTTATCTGATATGCTGTTTGCATATATCTTCTCCCATTCTGTCAGTTGTCTTTTGGTTTTATTGGCTGTTTCCTTTGCTGTGCAAAATCTTTTGATCTTGATAAAATCCCAATAGTTCATTTTTGCCCTCGCTTCCCTTGCTTTTGGCAATGTTTCTAGGAAGAAAAAGTTGCTGCAGTGGAGGCTGAAGAGGCTGTTGCCTGTATTCTCCTCAAGGATTTTGATGGATTCCTGTCTCAATTGAGGTCTTTCATCCATTTGAGTCTATTTTCGTGTGTGGTGTAAGGAAATGGTCTAGTTTCATTCTTCTGCATGTGGCTGTCCAATTTTTCCAACACCATTTGTTGAGGAGACTCTTTTATCCATTGGATATTTCCTTCCTGCTTTGTCAAAGATTAGTTGACCATAGAGTTGAGGGTCGATTTCTGGGCTCTCTATTCTGTTCCACTGATCTATGTGTCTGTTTTTGTGCCAGTACCATAATGTCTTGATGATCACAGCTTTGTAATAGAGCTTGAAGTCTGGAATTGTGATGCCACCAACTTTGGGTTTCTTTTTCAACATTCCTCTGGCTATTTAGGGTCTTTTCTGGTTCCATATAAATTTTAGGATTATTTGTTCCATTTCTTTGAAAAAGTTGATTGTATTTTGATAGTGATTGCAATCAATATGTAGATTGCTTTAGGTAGCATAGATATTTTCACAATATTTGTTCTTCCAGTCCATGAGCATGGAATGCTTTTCCATTTCTTTGTGTCTTCCTCAATTTCTTTCATGAGTACTTTATAGTTTTCTGAGTACAGATTCTTTGCTTCTTTGGTTAGGTTTATTCCTAGGTATCTTATGGTTTTGGGGCAATTGTAAATGGGATCAACTCCTTAATTTGTCTTTCTTTTGTCTTGCTGTTGGTGTACAGAAATGCAACTGATTTCTGTGGATTGATTTTATATCCTGACACTTTACTGAATTCCTGTACAAGTTTTAGCAGTTTTGGAGTGGAGTGTTTTGGGTTTTCCACACAAAGTATCATATCATCTGCAGAGAGTGAGAGTTAAATTTCAACTTCGAAGGTTAAACATTAGTTTAGCAGTGTCTTACACAATTTTCTATAAGGGCTAAATAGTAAGTATTACAGGTTTTGTGGGTCATGTCGTCTCTGTTGCAACAACCCAACTCTGCCATTGTAGAGCAGAAGCAGCCATAGATAGTATGGAAATAAATGAGCATGCCTGTATTCCAATAAAACTTTACAGACACTGAAATTTGAATTTCATAGAATTTTTATTTTTTATTAAATATAATGTTCCTCTTGATTTTTTCTTTAATTATACATTTTAAAAATGTAAATGGCATTTTTTTCCTCATGGGCTGTACAAAAACAGGTAACAGGCAGGATGATATGTTGACCCCAGATTTGTATCACTGAGTAGTAATATTGCATTGCATACATCTACCCCAATTTGTGTATATATTTATTGTTTCTGGGTTTTAACTATTACAGATAAAGCTGTTCTGAACATATATGTGCTTGGTATGAGCATATGCTTTCTTTTCTCTTGGATAAATACCTAGAAGTGGATTATATGATAGGTATTCTTTTTGTCTTTTCTGTCTTTCATTGGTTTTACTAATTTTGTTTTTCCCTTCTTTCCTCTTTTATTGTTTGGAATATATGCATTCTAATTTTTATTATTTTGTTGGTTATTCTTTTTTTTTTTTTAAAAGATTTTATTTATTTATTTGACAGAGAGAGATCACGAGTAGGCAGAGAGGTAGGCAAAGAGAGAGGGGGGAGCAGGCTCCCTGCTGAGCAGAGAGCCCAATCCAGGACTCGATCCCAGGACCCTGAGATCATGACCTGAGCTGAAGGCAGTGGCTTAACCCACTGAGCCACCCAGGCACCCCTTGTTGGTTATTCTTAAATTCAAGAGAAACTTTAACCTTCCTATTTCTCTGTGAATACTGAGGATTAATTAGCTTACGATTTTTTTTCCTTCATAAAAGAGATAAAGACTTCTAGCATCTTTTACTGCTGCATTTCCTCTCTCCTTCTTTCCTGTGTTGTTGAAACCACCAATTATAGTTTCAGGTTGTTATTTTTTGTTTTTATTTTTTTATTTTATTTTATTTTATTTTTTTTAAAGATTTTATTTATTTATTCGAGAGAGAGACAGTGAGAGAGAGCATGAGCGAGGAGAAGGTCAGAGGGAGAAGCAGACTCCCCATGGAGCTGGGAGCCCAATGTGGGACTCGATCCCGGGACTCCGAGATCATGACCTGAGCCGGAG